TCTTTCTGACAATCACTACTGGAAACAACCAAGCTCTCTTGAAAGGTTGTATGACCTCATCCTTCAACATCTGCTGTATCTCAGCCTTGGCCACATCCTTAATGCTGCAGTGAAGCTGGCACAGCAGTTGCTTGGTAATACAGATCATTTTTATCTATGTTTGTTATGTCACTGTTATTTGATCCAATCAACCATCTGGACCTGTAAATATATTGGCATAGTCAATCAACAAGTCATTGAAATTTCTTTTGCTTTGTTGGATCTTGATTGTTTACACAATCCTCAGACAGTGCTTGCAACAGATGCAACCATAGCATTACCACTTCACTTACTACACCTGTAGATAGCTGATTGACCATAGTTACAATGCACCACAGAAACTTCATTCCTTCTCATACAGAGAACTGGCCAAGCTAATGCTGTCGGTTTTCTGTACAGAAACCACTTAATTTAATACTTGATTTTATAACCTAATTACCTGCCAATGTACTAGACTTTGTCTATATTAAATGATCGGGATATACAGAGGTATTGTTATTTTATCTACTACATGTTTTATGGGCAGCCCATTGTTCTTGGGCTTGATCTTGCCATAATCAGATAGCTCTCCCATGGAACATCAGTTCTGCAGACAAAACTGACTGATAATTTGTGCAGTACTTCCATCCCAAGGATGCCAATACCAAATACACATTTCCTTGAAAGAGCCAGAGATTTGTCTCTTCACTCATGTCTAGGTTATTGCCATTTGTTAGAATGAAGCTGGTATTTACTAGCTTGGGTGGTGGTCTCACTTTGAAGGCTCAGTGTTCTAGCTGTTCTTGTGTCAACTGGGAACTCAGTCTCTCACACTTGTACCTTCACAGATTTGTATAAAGCTCCACTCAGCCCTGAGAGTGCTGGTCTGACTACTAAACCCTTCACTGCAAGCTGCCTGCTCTACTCCCCAAATTGGTGACCCATCCTGACTTGGGTTTGTTGATTTTCTGAAGCTTGAACATCAGCATTTACTGCTTACTATTGGTTCTCTGGTCCTGCTGAGTTGTAGGACAAAACTAAAAGCCTTTCTCATCCTACTGCTTTGCAAAGTATGGGCTCTGTTGGTTCTGGCACCTGCTGAGCCATTGTTTGGAGCTTACAGTCTTGCTGCTCAGCAAAGTAAGGACAGTTCACTTGCCACTGAAGTTTCACTCCTCCAATTCTGGACGACGTTCAGGAGGAGGCATCCTCAGTACAGGATGTAGAAGTAAGTTATGGGAGGCCTGGGATAGCCCTTCCCATTCACTAGAAAACAGTGGATGTGTCGCAGCTTTAAGATGTGTTCAACCCTCGGCATGGCTTGAGCCTCATGTGATGGAGATAACTGATTGCGTGGTTCCCAGAAGTCAGCAAATCTAGGAAAAGTACATGAATTTGATATTTTGAGTTCATGACCCAAGAAACATCAGGGAATTTCATTTCACAGACAAAAATATAGAAAAGTCTGTGAATTTTATGTGATTTATTGATGCTTGTAGGACACAGACCAAATTACTGACATTTTCATCCATATTCTGCTTTATATGGGTTTTCCTTAATTGTCACTGGCAATATTATATCTCTCTCCTTGCCAATGACCCTAGCCCAAGTTGTACTACATATCATGATATTGTGTGCTATAGGTGAAGCTTAATTGTGTATATTTTGTTTTATAACAAATTAAAAGAAAATGACTGATAAGTTATTGCTTTGTATAATTAATATATTTATTTATGATAACTAATTGAATAAATGTATTTTGACACAAATGCTTCAAAGATGTAATATACTTAAAGTATTATGTGTTTTTCCTTTGATTACTGACATGGGAACTGTTTTACTAATGCATTAAATTTATCTAATAGAAGAAGCCTACCTCTAAGTATTAATTTGTAAAGGGCTTTTAGGCTATAGTAAAATGATCTTCCATAACCTACTTTTAGGAAGATGAGATGAAGCCTTTTCCAGAGCCATTACACCCTGTTTAGGAGGAAACATAGCTGGTGTTTACATAATCTATTACAACTTCCTTAGTACTCCATGAAAATTAATGGTGAGCAAATAAACTAATGTAGTTAAACTAATACTGATGTGTAATGTACACATACTGATTTGCTAAATGCATTATAATTAACCTGTATGCAATTTTTTGGCAAGATAATACTTGGAAAAATATAGAAGTAAAGAAATATTTAAATATAGAATGATTCATTGATGGTAACTAATAATATGGACCATGTAAAAGTTTCCAAGAATACAGTGAGTGCTTTTTGTTATCTATGAATCTTTCTGAAAACAGTATAACTTGTACCAGTGAATAACTGAATACATCCTGTTTACCTAATCTAAAATTTAATGCATCACATTTTAGAGTAATATATTAGGAAAATTCATTGTCTGCAAATCTCACCCATTGAGCGTGAGACTTGCACATCTGGTTCTATTTTCACACTGAAATGCAGTAGTAAAAAAAATTGTGTTCTGCTCAAATTAACAGCATTTTATAATATCCACTAGATTCTGTCAAATTCAGCATTATATTGATTCAAGAAATACACCACTTTGTTACATTGAGTTAAACGTTTCATGGAGGAACATGCCCCTAGACTCCTCTAGAAGGTGATCACCTTTGGCACTCACAGACCACTTTGTTACATTGAGTTAAACGTTTCATGGAGGAACATGCCCCTAGACTCCTCTAGAAGGTGATCACCTTTGGCACTCACAGACCACTTTGTTACATTGAGTTAAACATTTCATGGAGGAACATGCCCCTAGACTCCTCTAGAAGGTGATCACCTTTGGCACTCACAGACCACTTTGTTACATTGAGTTAAACATTTCATGGAGGAACTTGCCCCCTAGACTCCTCTAGAAGGTGATCACCTTTAGCACTCACAGCACTTTACCATGT